AGTTTGTCCTGATTTTCCAAACCCCCCTCCCCCCCCCCTTGGCTCGGACATCCTTTGTGAATGGCCCCTATGTTTACCTCATATAATAACCGACACTCTTTTTTTCACAGTAAACAAGTCAACAAGATGTGTTCGCAACAGGCTTGCAGCAAACTTGCCAACAAATTGCGACAAAGCTGTTATTTTATCAAGTTGCTACAAGTTTGTCACTCACAACTTGTTGAATTGCAGGACGATAACAAGTTGTTGCAACAACTTTGTAACAAGTCTGTTGAGCTCAACAACCTTGTAGCAAGTTGTCAACAAGCTGGGAACAAGCAGTGCGAACACATCCTGTTGACAAGTTGTTGGAACAGCATTGCTACAAGTCTGCTGCAGCTTTGTTACAACTTGTGTGTTTTTACGCGTGTAGTCATACGCAGACATGAATGAAAAATACGAAACAAAATTATCCATAAATAGCAACCCAGATATCTTAACGTCTCTAATAGCGTGATTTGTTCTGGCAGCTGGGAATGCTTTATTGACTAAATACCTGCATGAGTAGCTCAAGACGAGAAGATGCGGGACTCGCTCCACAAGTTAACATGTTTAAAAGGTATCCATCCATTCCGCTCGAAATAAGATATTTTCCACCCTGAACGGAAATACAACATGTGTGTACGGCAAAAAGTTGACAATTTTTCCTCGCCAAGGAACCTTGTTTCAAAGCTAGTCGTGCCAGCTTTTGGACAAGGAAGATTTGTTCGTGTCTACGACCGCCAAGGAAAACTTGACAAGTGTTCAAGAAATACTTCTGTGGTTTACTGGTTTTGGCAAACAAAAGACGGCCTTGGGGACTGGTCATAAAGTAACTGCTAGGGTGGGCTGGAGGTAAGTTACAAATTTTGCCAATAAGTTTGGTGACCCATCTTAGGATGTAGATAAAAATTTCAAAGCCCATCTAATCTTACAAAAAAATTTCATGACCCACCCAATCTAAATTGGGAAAATACACTTTTATAACAAAAAAAAACTTGCAGGTATATGAACATTGTAAATATACACCGGCACTATATTGACATACATAATTCCACCAAGCTTGACCAACACATTCATCACGAATTACGATACGACTGAGCTGCTCTCCAGTTGGTTGTATTTGCTGCGACTCGACTACTTCTTGTTGTTGTATAAACAATTAAGTACTGGCTTCAATAGCATCATTTGCACTTGATAATTTGGATAGTTTTGTTTACTTTTATTATTAATATCTTTATTTTTTGAAGTAGACATGCATGGGTTTTTGTTTGGTGACCCAACCGTGGACATACAAAAAAATTGGAGGCCCATCGAAACTGCCCAAAGATTTTCCATGGCCCATCCCAAATCACTCCAGCCCATGCACCCTAGCAGTTACTTTATGACCGGTCCCTTGAAGTGAGATAAATGTTTCACGTGCAACACTCCGTGTACGCGAGGTAACAAAACTTGCCAAGAGAAACTAGTGAAGGAAAGGTTGTTGGCCGTACACACGAGAGATACGAAAAACTAGTTTCATATTAATCTGACACTGCAATCGAGCAACGAAAAATTCGTTGGCTCGAGCGGGATTTGAACTCGTGACGACTTAACGCTTGTCTTAGAGGACGCGTAGTGTTTCAATTATATTTCAGATCCATCGTCAGAGATACGATTTCATCTAGTTTCATCATGAAATAGAATTGAAACACTGCGCGTCCTCTAAGACAAGCGTTAAGTCGTCACGAAAATATTTCGTGCACTTAAATTGGATAAGACTCGCTACCAATCCCTGTTGACTCGATAGCTCAATAGGTAGAGCAGCGGTCTAGATACCCGAAGATGCGAGTTCAAATCCCGCTCGAGCCAACGAATTTTTCGTTGCTCGATTGCAGTGTCAGATTAATATGAAACTAGTACACACGAGAAACTGTTACCGTGCAAACATTTACTACAAACATATATAAACCTCAGATTTCTACCTGGACACCATCAAGGATATCTTTAGCGACAGTCGAGGGTGAAAAAACTCCAGCAGAGGCACTGACTAACCGAGTTTCTTCTGGCTACAAACAACAAACACAGCAAAAATATTTCTTGTACAGACGCTATATCAAACAGGATTCCTGTAGTTTCATATATCACCTTATCTTTATTTTCTTCTTTAAATCCAGGTGTCTCTGTATCGGGTGGAAATGCGACAGAAACGCCAATACCATAAGGACGAACCTGGTACAACGTGGAAAGATTTTAGAGAGAGTTAAGATTTCGGAGAATTACAGTCGCGTCCACCCTTTCCAACGAACACACCCAATTTCTTAACTCTCCCCATGATTGATTTCTTGCAACTAATATGGGAAATTTAAATTTGCCATGATAACTCTTTTCCATCAAAACGTAATGGCAGGTAAAATTCTATAAATATATTTCATATTTTCATTTGCTTACCAGAACTCATGTATACTAGATCATATACTAGTTTAGTTTACTGTAGTAAAATAGACACATTTATAATAAAAATGCATATCATGACAACATTGATTATAATATAGCATTTGTAAATTCTGAACGCTGATTGGCTAAGAGCCGTGTTGATGTAACTCAATGTCAACACGGAAACGTTGGAAAATTTCTTTCTTTGTGCTATATTATAAAACAAATATAAAACATTTTTTCCGTAATGATATAGAGTTATATCAACACTCGTGGAAATTGGGAAAACTCGAAATTGTGTGAAAACACTCCGCCCTTCGGGCGTCGTGTTTCCACACAATTTCTCGTTTTCCCAATTTCCACTCGTGTTGATATAACTGTATATCAACACGGAAAATGTTTTATATTTGTTAATTGTTACACTATGACTCATATGACTCATATACTCCAATCGTTACCTGGAATCACATCCCATTTAACAATCTTTGCCAATCAACCCCAAGTTTCAAAACACTTGCCATGCCTTCAATTAAGTCACTTAATGTAGCTAATTAGTATCGTTTTGAATCGTTTGTATTGTACTATATGTTCGTTTTGTAGTCTTAGAGTTGTTGTCGTTGTTGTTATTGTCGTTTGTCGCTTTTGCCATTGTTGTTGTTAATAACATATAACAACATAATTCTATAATCACCGCCTAATATATGTGTCATACAGTGATTATGAAGACTAATTTCTTGTAAATAAATATAAATATTATCTAGTTTTTCAGTAGATATAACTCCTCCTAGTGTAGTATAATACTGTTTTAGGAGTATTTCATTAAAGCATTAAAGCATGAGACATCGCCATTTTGGCAGTTCAATGAATAAAAATGGCAGGCTAAAATTTATTTCACCTGCCAAAAAATTTAGATTCGCAGGCCGTATTTTTTCTCTGCTTCGTGCACTGGAGAGAGTTAACATTTTTGTAACTCTCTGTTGTTATGGTTGGGAAGCAAGGCGAGCGTCAAGGTATCATTAAATATTTTGATTTTTTCCAATTAATAGGCAGCTTAAATCTTCCCTATAATGCCATACCTCCATGAGAAGTGTCTCGGCCAGGCCACGAAGGGCAAACTTGGATGCGGAGTAACCAGCATAACCAAATATACCAAGCTAGAAAATAAGAAAACAAGAGTTTAGACCAGGCCTAGAATTTCCCTGAAATCAATCGACGGCAATGGCGTTAAAAATTGCCTTAGAACGTAACAGCTGTCTACGGCAATTTTGACAGTTTCCACGGCATTTTTCATATTACTGTAATAAAAACTTTAATTTTATTGTTACTTTGGATTTTTGACAAGCTAGAAACATGTCTAGACGTGTTTTTTTTTTCGAAGAAAACTGAGACTAAAATAGTGACTTACGCTTGATTTGATCAACATCTGAATTCAAGTATCAAAATAGTAATCCACAGTGAATAGTATAAAAATTGCACTATACGGCAAAAAATTGCTGTCGTTGCCGCAATGATCCACAGCATTTTGTTCTCCCTCTACGGCCGCGATAAAATTCAAGCCCTGGTTTAGACATTAAAAATTATGCAGTCATGCTAAATGTTTGTTTTTTTGTATTATTTCTGTTGAAAATTGCTGTATCTTATTGGCTAATATCTTTATTATATTGTTTCATACTTTATAAGCCAATCAGAAAGCCTAAATAGTCAATTAAATTTACACTGTATTTCTTTTTTTTTTACACTGTATTACATTTTTTGTTACCGTATCTCGAAAAATCAGAATTGAGAAATTTTTTCATTTATATTATTAGGAATGTAATTAAAATGTGAACATGACATTGTTAGGTTATTTTTGTGCTACATATACGTACCTGACCTGCCATGGATGAAACAAAAACAATATGACCAAAACGCTTTGCTTTCATTTTCGGTAAGAGAGAGAAGGTTGCATTGACAGATCCAAAATAATTTAAATCCATCAGTTGCTAAAAATTGGTAAAACACATTTGAGGCAATTAATTTAAAAGTATAATTTAAAAGTATAATTTCATGTCCATCAATTAGCGTAATTATGAAACTGTTATTGAATATAACAACTAGCTGTTGATATTCCAGATGACATCATGATCTTAATAATATGGAAAGATATAAATTACCGGCACCACACCTTGTAAGTTGAAAGGTTATCTTCAAACAATTCAGCTTTGGCCATACCAGCGCAATTAATGAGAATGTCAACTGATCCAACCTTGAGATTATGAAGAAGAAAACTATCCTCATTTATTCTGGTTAATTGGATCAAAGTAGCTATGTTAATTTAATGTTGGTTCCGAGTGTTATCATAAGAGAAACTTTTCTTCCTAGAGGTCCAGTAAGGATCATCTCTTATTGATCCAGTGTTACTACAGGAACCTAAACTAAACTAACTTTATTTATACTGGATATAGCTCTATCAGTTCTAAACTGTTCTTCTTAGAGGCAGTAAGGATCATCTCTTATTGACCCAGTGTTACTACAAGAGGAAACCTAAACTAAACTAACTTTATTTATACTGGATAGCTCTATCAGTTCTAAACTGTTCTTCCTAGAGGTCCAGTAAGGATCATCTCTTATTGATCCAGTGTTACTACAGGAGGAAATCTAAACTAAACTAACTTTATTTATACTGGATAGCTCTATTAGTTCTAAACTGTTCTTCCTAGAGGTTCAATAAGGATCATCTCTTATTGAGGCCAGTGTTACTACAGGAGGAAACCTAAACTAAACTAACTTTATTTATACTGGATAGCTCTATCAGTTCTAAACTGTTCTTCCTAGAGGTCCAGTAAGGAGCATCTCTTAATTGATCCAGTGTTACTACACAATCAAGGAACTTCAAGGTAAACTAAACTAACTTTATTGATACTGAATAGCTCTATCAGAATTATAATCGAAAAAGACATGAACTCCAACCTCTGACAACACATTTGAAAGTTGATTGTAGTCAGTCACGTCAGCACAAAATGTATTTATTTCTTGATTCTCAAGTATTTTGTATTCTTCAACTTCTTTCCTTGCATTTTCCAACTTTGTCTAAAAACACAGTGACCTATTATTAACCCATTGAGCGGCAGCTCTCTCCACTTGACAAGTAAAATCGTCTGGCGTTAGACAGAGTAAAATACTCTGGCATTAGACAAAGTAAAATACTAAAGTAGGGCGCATTGCCACTTAAAGGGTTAAGAGGATGCATGGCAGCACACTCCACTTGACAAGTAAAATTGTCTGGCATTAGACAGAGTAAAGTACTAAAGTAGGGTGCATTGCCACTTAAAGGGTTAAAGCCATATTACCTACCCTTTCACTGTCCCTGTCACAAAGCTTATATTAATTTAAACAAACCTTATTTCTGGCAAGTAACGAGACATCAGCTTGCCTCTTGACAGCTTCCATAGCTAGTGCTTTACCAATACCACTGGACCCTCCTGTAATCTGAACACAAATAAAAACTTTACCCTCTGTTCTCATGGAATAAAACTAGTCTCTAATAGTAGACCAGAATGTGAAGTTTAGTCAGATCAAGCTGCCACTGAAATTCTTCACGAAAAAGTTTCAACATCAGGACTTGAAATAACAGGTGATCACCGATCGGCAAGAACGATGTACACAAAATCCGTTGAGTAACAGCGCTCTCCCCTTGACAGTAAAATCGTCCAGTGAGTATAATTACCTGGTGTTAGATAGAGTAAAATAATACAGTAAGGCGCATCAGGGCGAATTGGCACTTAAGGGCTATTCCATTTAATGTACACCCCCCCCCCCCCTCCAATGGATGAGTTCAATAAAATTCTTGTGTATAAGGGGGGGGGGGGAGGGGGGAGTGCAGATTTATAAATGGAATGGCCCCTAAAGGGTTAAGAATAAACAGTCACAGATAAAAAAATTGCTGTTAGCATGGAACTTTCATGCTTGTGACAAACACTGCTATTGACAAATGAGATTTTTATTTGCTACTGTTCATTTCCGGATGCAAACCCAGCCCATCTGACTATGACCTAGTATTATGACTATTTAATATCTCGAGTATTAAAACTTACAACAATATGTAATTTGGAGAGGCTGTCAATCTTCTTGCAAGGAGGAAACCAGAATATCAGCGGAATACAAATAATAGCAAGCACAATCAGCATCAAAATTATATAGAACATTATGAGATCGTATAAAAAATTAGCCTGCTCACAGACGTTGTAGTACAAAATAAAACAAAATTTTGGTCATTCCATATTTCCATTCACGAGTAACTTTATTTTTACATGACGTTCACCCGTATTATAACCACTGACCACATTTCTGACAAGATCTCCATATCGCTCCAGTGTACGAAGATCTCTAAAATATCTATTCTATTTTTTTAGTGTTTTTTAACTTTTTTTCTTCTCTTTTTTGTTGCTGAAAAACCAAACCAGGAAAAATTGTTTCCTAGCCATGTTTCCTGAAGGTAGACAAACCAGGAAACATTGTTTCCTAGCCATGTTTCCTGAAGGTGAACAAACCAGGAAACATTGTTTCCTAGCCATGTTTCCTGAAGGTGGACAAACCAGGAAAAATTGTTTCCTAGCCATGTCTCCTGAAGGTGGACAAACCAGGAAACATTGTTTCCTAGCCATGTTTCCTGAAGGTGGACAAACCAGGAAACATTGTTTCCTAGCCACGTTTCCTGAAGGAGGACAAACCAGGAAACATTGTTTCCTAGCCATGTTTCCTGAAGGTGGACAAACCAGGAAACATTGTTTCCTAGCCATGTTTCCTGAAGGTGGACAAACCAGGAAACATTGTTTCCTAGCCATGTTTCCTGAACGTGGACAAACCAGGAAACATCGTTTCCTAGCCATGTTTCCTGAAGGTGAACAAACCAGGATTCAACAAAAATCAAGACCAGTCGTTAGGAATTGCTACTTTTTATTACAAATTTTATTTACAGAGGCCAACAAACTGATTTCATTACAAGGCACCAAGTTCGGTTTTAGAATGTTCTTTTTTGGTGACATTCCTCAATTTCCAGCTGAAGTTGCAATTTAAACTCTTAAAAGATGTTCTTTCGAAAGTTTACAAGATGATACAAAATATCTAACTGTTTTAGAGCGCAAGAATATCGATTTTAATATAACATTTTAGGCGCAAGTCATTTCGGTGAATTCCTCAAACACAATGTGAAGAAGTCCATAATTATTATATACAATAATTAAATCTATCAGTATTGTTACGTTGTTTTTTGAGTTGTCAGCTTGCTGAGATCGACGTGTTGTTTAATCCAAGGGTGTTCAAGTACTCCAGCAAGTTCCAGCCTGTCTCTGGGCCTCTTTTGAAGTAACTAGTGAAAAATTAAGAATAGGGTTGTGGTTGAATAAATGAATAGGTGAACTGACATACAGTGACCTTGCCCTGACGAAAACTAACGTGCCATGCCTGTTTTTCTCCCGTTTGTATATGGTCCGAGCCGTACAGTAGCTTATTAGATGATTCCAGCCATTTTAGCTCAATTTAAGAGCATCCGAAGATTAGTATTATAATAATCTGCAAAGTTTGGTTGCGAAATGTTGTAAAGTACAGAAAATATAGCCATGCGAAATTTTTTTTAGCAAATTTCGAGTATTTTAGTATTACGCGCGAAAAAAATATGCACCACTTTCGGCTCAACATGACCAACCCATGGAAAACCTGCACCCCTCCTTGCAGACGAAGCTAGATCCGCCGGTTCCGCCCTCGGTCTATAAAGGCGTTTAGGCATTGTGCATGCCAGGGACCGCGGAGACGGGGGGGCTGGGGGGGCTTTAGCCCTCCCACTTTTTTTGACAGCCAAAATTATTAAAATAGAAATCTAAATGAAACTTTCTAAATTAATTAAACCTCACCCTTTAGCCCCCCCACTCTCTAATACACTCCGCGGGCCCTGCATGCGCTTTACTTAATTTAAACAAAATAAGTAACTTTAATTATGACTTACCTTTGTTACGAGATCGCGAGCAAGTGGCGAAATATACGACGGAAAACGTAGATCAACCTGCAAGAACACGAAAGATGATGAGAAATCTTCTGGAAAGAAATCGGCATGTAGTCACCGAAAGACTACATACGTAAAAACGCACAAGTTGTTACAGGTCTGCAAACAAGTTGTTTAATACAAATCTGTCCACAAGCTGTCGATAAGTTGCGTTCGCACTGCTTGTTCCCAGTTGTTGGAACAAGTTTGTATAACAAGAATGTTGCAAAGGATGACCACATAAGGTTGTAACAGTATTGTTATATCATGACTGCATCGTACTTGTTGGAACAACCTTGCAACAAGTCTGATAATATCAACAAGGTTGTTACAAGTTGTTAACAGCTTGCTCCAAACTTGTTGACAACTTGGGACAAGCAGTGCGAACACAACTTATTGACGGCTTGTTGGCAGACTTGCCACAAGATTTTTGCATGTGTAACTGAAAGTCTGCTCACCCGCGAGATACGCCTGTAGGTTTCTGAATGACCCTCGGCTTCGAATGGAGGTTTACCAACCAGGAATTCATAACAAAGTACACCCAGACTCCATAGGTCCACCTGTCATAAACACATAAAGGAAAAAAACTTGTAAACAAATAAATAAATAATTAGCAACTGGTATAAACAAGCAAGCAAAATAAATAAACATACACATGCAAGTAAACAAACAATATAATTATACAAGCAAGGTAAACAAGCAAACAAAGTACCCAAACTGAAAAGTAAACATGTACCTTTTCATCATGTTCCTGTCCTTCGATCATTTCGGGAGGAAGATAATCTAGAGTGCCGCAAAGCGTCGTCCGTCTACACAGAAATTACAATAAAATATCAGTTATGCGAACCAGTTTAATACAGTGACACGGTGACACCACAGACAATCATATGCCACAAATTTTTACAGATAAGATTACCTTGACGAGGGCGCATGTACAGACCAACCGAAGTCAGCAATTTTCAGATCTCCCTGTAAAATGAAACAAAGTTTTAAGAAGTTTTTAAAACTTAACTTACTATGTGATGTGCAAGTTGCCATTCTAAGGCAGATTATCAAATATATATTTATTATAAATATGTACCTTCGATCCTAATAAGAGATTTTCTGGTTTAATATCGCGATGAATGACCTTCTTTTCGTGACAGTATTTTAGCGCGTCTGCAAGTTGTGCTATGTACTAAACCAACAATCATGTTATGTTATATAAAATTAATTCAAATGATCAAATCCATTATAATAATTCATTGTAGTTGCAACGATAATTAAATCTAGACTTACTTTAGCAGCTCTTTTTTCATCGAAATATTTATTTTTTGTCAATTCTTTGTACAGCTCTCCGCATGGCGCAAACTCAAGAATGAGGTATACTCGAGTGCTATCGTAGAAATAGCCATACAATCGTAAAATGTTAGGGTGTCTGTTAGAAATTCAAAGAAAACTGTCAAGTTTCAATATCAATTTCAAATAGCATGTGGGATTTCTTTTAGAAGGTCCAAGCCCTTCATGTACACACATAAAAATGCACATTCAAGTTGTTACAGGTTTGCAAACAAGTTGTTACAAATCTGTTCACAAGCTGTCAACAAGTTGTGTTCGCACTGCTTGTTCCCAGTTGTTGTAACAAGTTTGTAATAAGCTGTTAACAACTTGTAACAAGCTTGATGGCATTATCAGACTTGTTACAAGGTTGTTCTAACAAGTCTGATACAGTCATGATATAACAGGAATGTTACAAGGTTGACAACACAAGGTTGTAACAATATTGTTACATCATGACTGTATCGGAGTTGTTGGAACAACCTTGTAACAAGTCTGATAATATCAACAAGGTTGTTACAACTGTGTTCCATACTTGTTACAAGACGTGAGATTTATGTGTGCGTAAAACACTTCCACAACAATTTGTACCTTAAATGTGATTGAATTTCTATCTCCCTTCGTAGCTGATGTTCAACTTGTGATTTTTGCAACTGACTTTTAAACAACACCTACGGAATACAATATGCAGAATTTTTTAGAAATTTAAATGTAGATAATCATGTTTAATATTATATTGTAGTTAATCTTGAAATGTATGGTCGGCATAGGAAGAATTTAACCCATTAATTTAAATGCCAGCACCCTTCCTTGACGAGTAAAATCGTCTGGCATTAGACTGAGTAAATAATAATGCAGGGCCGCTTAAGTTGCATTGCGCCCTACTTTATTACTTTACTCTGTCTAACACCAGACAATTTCATTTGTCAAGGGGAGAGTGCTGGCATTTAATGGCCATGGATTAAATTAACATGACCCCTTACTTTCAAAGCAACAATGTATCGGCTAACTTTTTCTCGAGCAAGATAAACGTTGCCAAATTTTCCTAGAAAAATGAACAAATACAAGGGCGATCAAATTCTGATACAATTATGAGCTCGACAATCGGCCCTGCAAATAGAGGACAAGATTTCTGCAAAGTCTTGCAAGGCTCTGAGTCTTGTCGAGTAAAAATCAGTTCTGATGTTTTAAAATTACAGTATATATTACAGTAATTTCCATGTGCAAAATTGGGTAGCTATACTCAGAGTCTCATTATAAAATTTGGGTCAAAGGCACTCCATTAAGGATGGAAGATAAATTGAACGCAAAAAATGTACATACAGTTGTTTGTATAAAACACTATTGTGATTTCTGATATTTGAAAATATTTTACAGTATAAAGGTTTGGCTTATTAAAATGTCTATAAATTGTGGATTCTACGATTTTATGATCGTAAACGGTGATCTGGTATTCGTACCTTTTCCAAGTGGTTTACCAATATCAAAATCAGCAAGTTTCCAAACTTTCTGATCGTTTTTTCCTTGGCAATTTTCCTTATCTTTTGGTCGAGCAACTGCGGCATCTTCACCGGTTTTTACAACGCGTTGTGGTGCGTTGTTTTGCACGTTTCCGACCTCCTGTGGAAATCAAATATACTCTGAAGTTTTCGCTTTGAAATCAAGAAGGAACAGTTGTAATAAACGTATAAATTACCTTGCCAAAATAGTGGTTTGTCTCAGTTTTCTTCTGTGCCGGTTGCATCTTGTCGCCTTGGTTCGAACAAACGAGCGCGATTTTGAAAGCGTTAGAAAGACCAGTTTCGAAAGAAAATGCTTCCAAATGTTAGAGAGATACCACTTGTGGTTACTAGTATCTTCAAGCGAGAATGTGTAAAAGAAAATAGCAAAATTTAGCCAAAGAAATATAAAAGAAACCAAAGACACGTTTGTATGATCGTCCAGTCGAAGGTTGAGGATTTTTAAATTTGACGTTGTTGTCAGATCGGCGTTCTGATTGGTTCGTTCCAGTTTCATTCCAGCCACTGATCTCAAAAAAAAATTCGCTCTGAAAAATTATTACAAATATCATCTTTTATAGAATTTTATTGTGAAGATTTCTGTCATCTATGACATCTAAAAGATATATTTTGAACAGTATTTCATGGAATAAATAAATTTATGTAATTTTTCTACTCATTTCTGATTTCTTATTAGCTCCTGAAGCACTCCAGTTTTTGAAGATTTAAGTCCAGTTGATATTATCTACACGAAGTATTGGAAAGGTTTTGAAAATAGAAGTAAGAATTATCCAAATGTTCTCTGCAACAAGACGAGCAAAATTGTTTGTAAAAACGGTTTTAGAATCGCCAAAATGGCTCAATATTCTCACTAGACAACAATCGAGCTGGATGGAAAACTTAAAGTCGATAATCGTTGGGTCTAATGTTCCAAAAGTCCGACAGATTGGCGACCCAGTACTGCGAGAAGTTGCCCAACCTGTTGACCCCATGACCATACACACTGCCGAGTTTAAAAAACTTCTTGAAGTTATGATTAAAACCATGAGAGAACATCAAGCAGTGGGCATTGCAGCACCACAAATTGGTGTCGGGTTACAGGTTTTTGCTATGGAACATACACGAGAACATATGAACAGACTTAAAGAAATGGGTTTCACGTTGGAAGACCTCAGACAAAAACAGATGGATATAGTACCATTAAAAATTTTCGTAAACCCCGAATTGAAAATTACCAATTCCAAAATGGTCGCATTCAGAGAGGGGTGCCTCAGTCTCGAGGGGTTCTCGGGCATGGTGCCCCGCGCACTTGAGGTCGAGGTGCGGGGGTTGAACGAGAATGGAGAGGTTGTGACGTGGAACGCTTCTGGCTGGCCAGCTCGTATTGTACAACATGAAGTAGATCACTTGCGGGGAAATATTTATATAGATTCTATGACTTATAAATCATTTATGAATAATAAGTGGAATGATTTTGTCGAGTAATGTCACTGAAAGATAGATATGTTTAATACTATATAAAGACTGAACAATCATATAAAACAAATGATAACTAATCCAAATGTAACTCCAGTTTTTATGAAAAGCTCAATCTCTATGTACTCAGGTGAATATGTTTGTGATGTTACTCTGAGTGTGCATTCACACCGGGCAAGCTGAAAAGTTTGCCTGACCACGGTGGGAATCGATCAAACCCGCGACACGGAGTATCATATCTTAGGATACATTGATATATCGAAGGAACTAGACTCGGTTTCGAAATATCACCAACTCGAACCAACTTGACCTTGTAGCTCAGTTGGTAGAGCATTGGACTAGTATCCCAAAGGTCGCGGGTTCGATTCCCACCATGGTCAGGCAAACTTTTCAGCTTGCCCGGTGTGGATGCACTCTCAGAGTAACACCACAAACAATGTAAATTCCTTATATGAAAATTCCAATTTCAAATTCACCGGATTCAAGGGTCCCACTTGTAGTGTAGCAAATTAGTGTAGCATTTAGTCCATGCTTTGAGTGTATTTTGAATAAAAGGTTCACTATCTGTGTTAAACTAACCTTGTTTATCAAGATTCAAGAAAGCCACTGTTCACTACTTTGAACTTTCCAATCCAGTTTTCCAACGTCATGAAGCCAAAACTAACGGAAATGTTTGCTCAAAATACTTCTCGTGTGCTTCTATTTTCGTGATACGAAAACTGCCTCGATTAGAAACGTGTAAAAGCAAAAAAAAAAAACACGAAAACTATGATTCTGTAATACAAATCAATAGCGAAGTGGGAAGCATGTGGAATTTGCCATTCAAATCCTCAAAAATGCCATATTTATAAATTCACTCTCCACATAAACATCTTAAATGATCATTTCCATTGTTTTATAAAAATTTGCCCCCTATATACAATCCAGTTGAACCCCCCCCCCCCCTACACACCAGATACACACACATTTGCCTTGAAGTCGTACGGTCACACACGTACGACTCAACAAGATGTGTTCGCAATAGGCTTGTGGCAAGCTTGTCAACAAGTTGTAACAATGCTGTTATTTCATCAAGTTGCTACAAGGTTGTCACTCACAACTTGTTGACAAATTGTTGAATTGCAGGACGATAACAATTTGTTGGAACAACTTGTAACAAGTTTGTTGAGCTCAACAACCTTGTAGCAAGTTGTCAACAAGATTTGTTCGCAACAGGCTTGTAGCAAGCTTGTCAACAAGTGGTAACAATGCTGTTATTTTATCAAGTTGCTACAAGATTGTCACTCACAACTTGTTGAATTGCAGGACGATAACAAGTTATGGAAAAACTTGTAACAAGTCTGTTAAGCTCAATAACCTTGTACCAAGTTGTCAACAAGATGTGTTCGCAACAGGATTGTAGCAAGCTTGTCAACAAAGTCAACAAGTGGTAACAATGCTGTTATTTTATCAGTTGCTACATGGTTTGGTGCGTCCAGCGTGGACGCAAAAGGCAGAACGGTAGAGTTTGACTTTGGTCTCGAATGGTCCCTATTACATATGAACAAAATTTTGATCATTGGGAAATTGATACCTTTTTTCAGAAAGCGGTATCAATTTCCCGTGCGTAATACAAAATGACTGATAAACAGCAAACTTCGCATGGCTATATTATCCGCATTTTAGAACATTTCGCAACGAAACTTCGGAATATTACTAATTTTGTGATGCTCTTTCAAGCTGTGATGAAATTTTTGTTCAGATCAAAATTTTGTTCATTAGGTAATAGGTCCATTCATCCCTTGTGAAGCGAGACTAAACAAAGAATCTTGTCCTAGGAATACGAAACGTGAACGTCCTCTTGTTCCCGGGTTGGTTTCCCGCTTTACTGTGTGTCCTACACGTGAGTATAGCGCAATACACGAGCATGATGCAGGAGATTAAAGCGACGTATATTGGAATCGTGTACCAGATGTCTATAGTCGGGCCTTCGTCGTCCCAGTCGTGAGGGATTGGGAAATTCACTTTCTTTCTTGAAGACAGGTCAATCGCCACAGGCTAGAGAAAAATCATATTTCAAAATCAATGTAACTTTATTTATACTGGAGTAAGGTCATCTCGTATTGATCCAGTGTTACTACAGGGGGAAACCTAAACTAAACTAACTTTATTTATACTGGATAGCTCTATCAGTTCTAAACTGTTCGCCCTAGAGGTCCAGTAAGAATCATCTCTTATTGATCCAGTGTTACTACAGGAGGAAACCTAAACTAAACTAACTTTATTTATACTGGATAGCTCTATCAGTTCTAAACTGTTCTTCCTAGAGGTCCAGTAAGAATCATCTCTTATTGATCCAGTGTTACTACAGGAGGAAACCTAAACTAAACTAACTTTATTTATACTGGATAGCTCTATCAGTTCTAAACTGTTCTTCCTAGAGGTCCAGTAAGAATCATCTCTTATTGATCCAGTGTTACTACAGGAGGAAACCTAAACTAAACGAACTTTATTTATACTGGATAGCTCTATCAGTTCTAAATTTTTCTCCCTATTAAAAAAGAAAATACTTGTAGTTTTTTTACCTGACTGATCCACAATAATTTTGGTTGTTTATAAAGATCACCAGTGGAGGACATGTTCAAAGGTTGGGCCTTGGACCATGTGTATTTATGGCATGTGGGTAGATCTTTGGGCTGCGCACGCCCGAGTCTAGAGTCCAGGACTTTGGAGTAACGATTTAGTTGGTTACCTGTTGGCAAATGCGGGAAAATGTTAAGCAAACACACTGTAGAACTTGCGTAAAGTTCAACGTAAAACTGATCTTATTTATGTTCTGGATAACTCTATTCCTGCCAACAAGCTGTCAACAAGTTGTGTTCGCACTGCTTATCCCAAGTTGTCAACAAGTTTGCAACAAGTTGTTAACAGTTGTAACAAGCTTGTTGATATTATCAGACTTGTTGCAAGGTTGTTCCAACAAGTCCGATACAGTCATGATATAACAATGTTGTTACAACCTTGTGTCGTCAACCTTGTAACATTCTTGTTATATCATGACTGTATCAGACTTTTTTTTTTATTTATTCATTTTGTCACACACATTAAAGATATACATTTACGTAGAGATAACAATAACAATAACTAGAGAATGCTGCGACAGGAGAAGAAAACAGAAACTAAATTCCAATTGATATTCGACCCCTTAACAATTAATGGATAACGAGACGTACTAGGACAATTATGCACGAACATATCACAGATTACATGGAACTTAACATATAGGATACTGTACAACGAATTATTGAGAACAAGATTAACTATGGTGGTATGTAGGTAAACAGTTTGGCTTTGTAATAAGATTGTAGATGGTGCTTGAAGATCTGTAGGGAATGGGCGGCTTTGATGTTCGGTGGTAGATTGTTCCAGAGGATGACGGTGCGTGGGAAATAGGATTGTCGGAAGAATTCTTGATTATTGGAGACGATTATGTTATAGTTGTTAGGGTCGAAGTTGCGTGTGGAATAGGGGTTAGTTGCAGGTGTAAGGTATTGGTTAAAGGTGACATTAATAAGGTTGTATTTGATTTTGTATAATAGTGTTAGGTCATAAAGTTCACGCCTGTGTTCAAGTGGGAGAAAGTTTAGGGATATTAGTCTGTCTCTGTAGGTAACATCACGAGAAGGGTAGTTCAAAATGAATTTCGTTGCTCTGCGTTGAACGTTCTCTATTAATTTACGTTGTTTAGCCGAGTAAGGTGACCACACACACGACGCGCGTACTCAAGCTTAGGTCGTACAACAGCACAATAAAGAAGCTTTCGCGTATTGGCATCCACAACGTCTCTAGCACACACCCGCTTAATTAGACCAAGGGTTTTATTGGCCTTGGTGCATATGTCTTCAATATGATTAGCCCAGGAGAGGTCTTTGGAAACGATGACACCCAGGTCAGAGATGTGTGTCACACTTTCCAGGGGTTTGTCGTTCAGGTGGTATTGGAGTGAAGCAGAGGAGCAAACCTTTTTCCGAGACATGTGCATCACTTTGCACTTGGATGGGTTGAACGTCATGCCCTAGTCATTACTCCAATTTTGAAGGCCTGAAAGGTCCGATTGCAACAGATGGTGAGATGCCAAGTTTATTGGCCAATATAGTTTAGAGTCATCCGCAAATAATGCAATACTCGAGCCCTGTCCTACGTATTCTGGCATGTCGTTAATGTATACTAGAAACAGGAGGGGTCCTAAGATGGATCCCTGTGGGACCCCAGAGGTCACGGGGAGCCAGTCTGAGAGGTTCCCATCTAAGGCAACGCGCTGATATCTGTCACTCAGGTAACTACGAAACCACTGAAGAAGCGAGCCTGATATGCCGTATTGCTCAAGCTTGTACAGAAGCATGTGATGTTGAACACGATCAAAGGCCTTGGACAGGTCTAGGTGGATGGCATCAACCTCTTTCCCACCAGCTAAGAGATCTAGGATTTCTTGGTAGACGTGGAGTAGTTGAGTTACCGTAGATATACCCCTTAAGAAACCATGCTGTAGATAGTAGAAATGTGGTGATAGATGGGGATAGCAGTGGTTATACACACAGCGTTCAAACGTTTTTGAGATTATAGATAATAGGGATATGGGTCTATAGTTAGAAGCGAGCGTTGGGTCGTCTTTTTTGAACACAGGTGAAACGTTTGCAAGCTTCCAGCAAGCAGGAACTACACCTTGGGACAAAGAAAGATTGTATATATAACAGAGAGATGGTGCGATGATGTTAGCCGTCATCTTGAGAACTTTTCCAGGTATCCCAGCAGGTCCGCATGCTTTGCTTGGATCCAAACCGTCAAGAGCTTTAAAGACTTCGTTTTCTGTTAGTTGGATATTGGATAAGGCTGTGTCGGAGGAGAATGGGAGATTAGATGTTGTAGTGGTAGCTTGAGCAGGACTAAAGACTGAGTGGAAGAAGGAGTTCAGTAGGTTGGCCTTGTCACGGCTGTCAGTAATAAAAGACTGATTATCTCGAAGGAAGTTCGCGGTGATTTTGACCGACCTAGAGGATTTTACGAAAGACCAGAACCGTTTCGGGTTTTCCGTGACAGAGTCTCTGAGTTGCGTACTCCTTCTTTTTTTGCGAGATAAGTTGTTTCGTTAGGCGTCGAAGATCTTTAAACTTTTGAGCGTCATGAACACAACCTGATCTATTGGCTTTTACTCTTTGCAAGTTCTTTCT